GCGGCGCTAGGGAAATCGTTGCTGCCTGCCTCCGAAAAATCCCTCAATTATCACCGCCGGGATGGCGCTCAATTTCCTGTCACACTCCGAGTCGTAGCGTCACCCAATTCGAGGGCCAAGCCAATCAAACCCCTCTGAAATCTGTCTGTCGACTATGACTTCTTCGACGGGCTTGTGTTGGGTTTTGGCTATCGAGATGAGAAGCTTGGCGACAAAGGGATGGGGATGGGATGAAGGGGATTCTGGAATGGGGCAGATGCCATCGTCAGCAGGGGATTTATTCTGCGATTTTGGAATTGGTGTTGACATGAGGCAAAAGTGAGAGATGGCGGTGACGCAACTGGCGGGTGCAATGTAGAGAGGTCGAAGACGAAGGAAAATCGGCAAAGTGCGAAGGAGCTTGAGGTGGCGGAGCTCCCACGGGTTGTGGGCCACATCAGCTAATCCTTCAGCGAGGGAAACCGGCAAGCATATGGAACGCAGACCAGCAACTGACACGCAAATATGTTCTTGGAGATTTTGAACGAGGGAAGAAGAAGAAGCTTGTTGTTTGTTCGTATGAGATTGAGATTCAATTCAATCCCACATATACTTGTGTTATTGTTTATTGCAGGAATGAAGAAGAAGATAGAAGGCGTGGAAATCAGAATGGTGGAGGCAGTGTCGGGGACGCGGTGAAGCACGTCGGTGATGGGTCTCGCAGAGCAGCAAAGTTGATTTTTTGTTTTTCTTTTAAATTTTTTTAAGTTTTAATTTTTTTAAGTAAATATGATGTGTTGTCTACGTGCCATTTGATGATGAAGTGTCACTGATGTGTACGCTGATTTGGCGTCCTAGTCAGCATATCACTAACAGAACTGACGAAGTTTCTAACACCGTTAAAGTTTATAACGTAAATGGCTAGATTCGTCACATTATCATCCAATTTTTGGGCTATTTTGTGTTTTTCGATAGTTATGACTATATTTGTCAAAAACGTGAAAATTATGACTATACAAGTGTATTTGAAAAAAAAATTAACGATATAGTATTTAACATGATTTAACCACAAGAACCATTTCATATTGTTAACATGGTTTATCAGTTCTAAAATATGATACTCGATATTCACGATCCGACCCGGCGGTAGAGTAGTTTCCGACCGACCTAGCCGCCTTTGGTGGGCTTGCCTTCCCCAGACAACAAAAATGCAGGGCACGGAGGGATCCAGCAAATAATCAAACGCCTTACCTCACCTTCCCAAAAAGAAAGGGGCCACGAAGAACATTATCTTGGACTGCTGTGGGAAGCGGCGAACTCAAATGGGAAGCCCCGCCGTCCACAAACATCGACACGTGGAAAGTGATTAACGATAAACATGCCGATTGCCACGTCTGCAGATGAAGGCTGCTACTTTCATGCCACGTAGATCAGATGGAAAGGGAAAAAGTAAAGAAAGCCACCGTCAAATCAATGGCCACGAATGGCTGATTGATTAGCTCAGCGAAAGTTCAAACAACAAGATAAGAGAGAGCCTTGGATCGAATAAGGAAGGCTGACCTTTGAAATTGAAAACCTCACCCAAATCCAACCATTTGGGCCTAGTGGCGGGTTGGTTGGTTGGTTTGGATAGCTATCTGACTGTTGCGACCAATTTTTTTTAGTCTCAAAATCTGTCAAGCTAGGCGTAGGCAGAGGGAGCGGAGCCTCCACGACCCATTTCAATTTCCACATCATATGTTGATGGTAGAGAAGAGATTAGGCGGCTGCTGGCTCTTTTTTGGCAGGTTAGAGTAGATAGTGACTGGAATCAAGATTTGAACCCAAGTATGTCTTTTTAAATATATATATATATATATATTTAATACTTCTACGTAAAATAAATATCTTAATAATTTATTGATATATGAAGAAATAACCTACGAATATAGTTATTGTTCATAAATAACCACACCGGTATTTTATATATAAAAAAAGAAATGAAATACATTTGTTGTCTACACTTTTAAAATAAAAACAAACTCATGTTATATATGTTCAAATTAGCTATTTGACACATAAGTTTTTTCCTTCATATACTTTCGAAATTTTATTCTGAAACAAAAAAAACAGAGAGCCAAAACTCCATATCTATTCTTTAGTTGAAGCATATTAGCATACACAGGGAAGTGGGAGGAAAATCTCATTCCCATACCATATTGTCCAAGGAGTAGAGACTAGCCAACTAGGGTGAGAGCCAGCCAATAAATTATTGGAGGTTGTTGCTTCAAGAAACAAGACAGTCTTCACGGTTTTGGCCTTTGGGGCAGTGGGCAAAAGCGAATTAAGTAATTAAGAAAAGAGGTATGGATTTATTCAAAAGGGGAATTCATGAAAAATTAATTTTATTTTTTATTTCCTAGTGATATCAAGAGAACATAAAATTTATACAAACAAAACTAAACAGGAATCCCCCTCAAGCGACACCCTAGTGAAGCCATCCAATAAAGTCGAAAGACTCTAACTCTAAGACAGACAAAAACACTACTTTACGCGCCACTCTACAGGCAACACTGTTGGCGGCTATAGGAACTGCCCTAAACTCTATACAAACTAACAAAGAGTCTAGGATCTAACGACAGTCCCGAAGTACCGGACCTCCAAAGGAATCTTCTAGGACACCTTGCCGAATTTGGTTGATGACCACATTGGAATCACCGATTGCCAGCACCACATGCCTGTCTGACTCGCGGATAACAAGACCAGATGAGCACCCTTAGTCACGAACAGCTGCATCGAAGTTGATCTTCAAATAGTCGTCTGATGGAGGCTCCCAAGTGGTTGGAGGAGGATTTGGAAGGAGCTATCTAGGGGTGGAGGAGGGGGTGAATATTGGAAACTTCAAGGACCTGGTTGTAGAATTTTCTGACGAGGGAACGAACATGAGGTTGGTAGAATTCAAAAGTCACTTTATTTCTAGACTTCCAGATTCTCCAAAGTAAACATACGCATTGGAGAATGCAGAATGGGGAGATCTAAGAGATCATGACATGTCACCACCATAGACTAAAACTAACAGTCGGGGAAGAATCAATGATCGAAGTTGCTCAATCCCACTAAGGTCCACAACTTGGTGGCTAGGGGTCATATGAAGAAAGAGTGTTCAATTCTCTTTTGATATCGCCGGCACAAGGGGCATCGATTGAGGTAGTTTAACTCCACGGGTTTGTAGGGCAACCATAATGAGAAGAATGACCTTGAGGCATTGTCATATGAAGAATTTAAGTTTAGGTGGGACATGGATATTCCAAGTCTTTTTCTAAATGGAGGGTCAATAATATGGACTATCGATTTTCGACTTGAGACCAGAGCTAGGTGATAGCCCGATTTTGACTCCCGCTCCATACCCATACACATACCCGCCCATCCAAGAAAATTTCTTCACATATAAAAAATATGTGAATAATTTTGTAACCTATCAATGATAATGAAGGTAATTCGAGAAAATAAATAGTAGAAATGCAATTGAGTGTCCACCCTAATCAAAATCTAATTCATTTCCCTCAATTCTCCCTTCACTCTTTCACTTTCCCCTTGTCAACAAGATTATGTTAGTTAATTATTACTTAGTAGAAGTATTAGAGTTCAAGCATATAATTTGGAAACTATTGTACACTATATTATGTATATATATATGTTTTTTCTATCACATTCTTTGATAGTATTGGGATTTGAAATCACTAAATTTATCAATGGATAAAAGTTGGAGTACAACATTGAGTTTCTTACAAAATAAAAAAATGAAATTAATGTAAATATTTTATTTGAATGGTTGATAACATCAATATCAATTTCTTCATACTGTAGTAAATGATTAATCCAAGGTTGGAGTTGGTAATTATAAGTTAAAGACAGGGATTGAAATACCGTATCGGAAGTCTTACCGAAAAAATCAGCAGAAAGATATTTTATGCTAAAATCATGATTTAACTATGATTACTGTATTTTAATCCTTACTAAAGACACAATGAGATTGGTAATAGTTTATAGATATCATTTTCCACTATGGCGACAGTGGAATCTGAACTAGATTATTCGTCTCGGAAGTGAAGAAGGTGATGCAAAATGCACAGAATTTGATAGGCATATTGGAAAATGAGAGCTTATGATTTTCTGGATTGAAGATGTTAAATGCACTAAAAACCAAACCAAACAAATGACAACAGCTGGGGAAGGAAGGGAACAAAAGCGATAACAGAAGAGGAAAAAGGTGATTGACAGACGAGCAGTGATGTTAGCCTATACACTCCGTCCACCAATATTACGGAAAGGATCGAAGACCCATCGCCACCATCAATTATATACTTATTTTCCCCCCACATTTGAAGGGTCTAGCAAGAGACTACAAGGATGAAGTGATAGGACGACTAACACAAATAGAAGATAGTTACGCGCTTTACTATTTCATTATTTCTTATGTTCATCTCGAATTTATGAATTGATCAATTATGTATGGTTTAATAATTTTCATTAATTACTAATCAAACCACATTTTTAAATGAGAAACCGAAATCCACAATTCATCATTCATTCTATATAATGTTCCTGGTCACTAGTATACATCTTACCATCCATTATAGTAATCAAAACTATGTGTGATCCTATACAAACAACAATCAAGTCTCCAATTCACTTGGTTATAACTTATAAGGCAACAAGAAAAGCATCCACCAAACATGAGGATCAAGCATATGAAATGCACATAGATCTTTTCCATACCAAATCCTTATCCCTGAACCATTTTCTCTCCTTGGATTCCCTCCCAAATTGATTGCCAGCTACATTGCACGAAAAGACAGACTCTAGGGATTGGATAACAATCATTCAAAATCTGTTCATCATACCTCATGAATCTGATTTCACATTCAAAATAGAGTTGCGAAGATGAATTCTCAACTTGATTGGGGAACAAACAATGCATTCGATATATCAGGACAATAAGAGAAACCTCCAACTTTTGATTGGCAAGTTATGAGCTCGAGGTTATGAGCTCGAGGTACATTGATTGATTAGGGCATTTAAGAAAAGAAAAAACGTAAAGAACCCTTCTTTTCGCTATATCTAATTCATGAAGAAGCAGCTATATCCACAGTGCATCAGGAAACCAAAACAGATATCCACAGTTCCTGCATCAAATCACTCAAGAGAGAAAAAGAAAAGCCAAGGCATTCATTCCTCAGATCCCAACATGTTCTCTTCATTCGAATGGCGGCACCATTTCCAGGTCGACGACTTATGTCGCAGCTCAATATGCAGCTGCTACCCAATTCTCCACGTCTCCAGACTGCCCCCTTCCTTCACATGAGTTTCCAAGCTGCAGAGGCAGGAAAAAGAATTTAGAAGAAATGAATGCAATAAGAGCTTCAAGCAAGCGGGAAACCAGACAAGTGATCCCAGAAGAGACCATCGAGAACAGAGCATTTAAAGCAAATTTCACAACGCTATGATCAATTTGTTGTGATTTCAAGAAACCCAACTGGCATCTGAGTCTCAAAATGCCCTAGCACAAGAGAGGCACTTGAAAAGGTTTCCTCATAGTCAGTGACATTCATTCAACTGAAACATCCCAATTCACTGCCTAGCGATAGACATAGTAAACACAATAACCAGTATTTCTCAAACCCGTACAACTCTATCAGCCAGCTAGCTACACATAAACAAAGCACAAGATAATTGGCCCATAACTGATATGCCATAGCTAGACAAGATGAACAAATCCTGCCCATTGCAGCTGTCAGAACTCTGTCTAAACCCATTACAAGACAAGATCGGCAGCTCAAGATTCATCACCAGACTTAAAGTGCACCGATGAAGATGAACAAAAAGCTAAAAACTCATTTTCCAATTTGAAGGTATCAGAAGCAGCTGAATCTTGGATCCTTTACAGTAGTAAGCAGCTGAATCAATAATCAGCCTCACTACGGTCAGCGAAGGAATCACAACATAGCTAAAATGAAGAGAAGAGAACAAGATCTCGAGAGTTTCTGCTAAACCAAAACCCCCAAAAATTCTTCCAAAGCAAGCATTTCAGCGAGACAGAGGGATAGTCAGACTGAGAAGAAAGAGAGACGTACCAGGACTGTCTTTCCCAGGGGAGGGCGATGGCTCAGTAGCGTAACAGAGAAGCGAGCGGCCTAACATGGAGATCATCGAAACGATCCCGGCAACATAGAACACCATTACAAGCCCAATCACCCAGGGCATCAACAGAAACCCAATGAAAAAGGTCAGGGATCCGCATAGCATCAGCGACAGGGAGACGCCCAGTAGCAGCGACGCGAACCCCGCCGGCGTGATCTGCGCCGCCGACAACTGCGACGACCTCCGACTGCTGGACGAAGAGGAAACAGCTGGCGGCGCAGGGGTCGGGAAGTGGTCGGAGAAGGGGATCGGCGTCGGTGGGGAACGAAGCAAGTTGAAGACCAGAGTGGATAGCTCGAAGAAAACACGCGAGTGCTGATCTTGCTGCTGCTGCCTTCTCATCATCTTCTTCTTTGTGCTAAAATTTCAAGCTCCGGGAAGGAGGAAAAGGAAAATTGGAGGGGAGGAAGATCAAAATCCAGATCCAGAAAGCGTAATCCGCCGCCCAAAGTGGAATTTTGATTGCTCAAATCGAGGCTACTGGATAAACACCGAGGAGAAGGAGAAGGAGAAGGAGAAGAGAAGTTTCTATTTATCTAGGGAGCTGCGTTGGATTGGTGCAGAGAGATTTCTTTCAAACTAACACCCTGCAGAACATATGGATTGTTACGATAGGCGAGAGTTTGTTTGTTTGCCAGGAAAATTTACAGACGACGAGAGCAGAGGAGAGAAGGAATTTTCTCTTCTTTTCTTTTCTTCCGGTACAGAGAAAATAGTTGGGGGAGAATTATTTTGGAAGAGTTGAGAAGAGGAGTGGTTTTATCTGTAAAAACGAGTTCTGGTGGGGCCGTTTGGAGCGTGCTGAATACGCGCTTTGGTTTTGAAGGAGGGAGTGATGACGTGGGACCTTATCCTTCGCGAGTAAAGAGGACGCCGCTAGCCAGAGCCAGTGGTAGAGCGCGTGGGTATTTGAGACGGGGGATTAAATTACGCTGCGGGAGTTGGAAATGGATAACGTAAAATGCTGTAGCGACGTGTCTCCGACTGATAAACAGATAGGCTTACAGCCTGCTGACGAAATTCTTCGTTTCAAACGGTGGATTATGATAAGTTAGTAAATTACCCTCCCACAGGAAAAACGGTGAATTGGGAACTAACTGTGGTGGTGTCTTAACGAAACAAACCAACACCCGTTGTTGATGGGTAAATGAATGGAGGAGTTACGGTGCTAATCAAGGTTGTCAACTCGCGGGTTGACCCACGGGTCGATCCAATTTGATCCTGACCCGGTGAGAAAAACGGGCCGCACGCACCCGCCGGGCCGACCGGTATTAGGTACCGGGTTGGAGGTCAAATTGTGTCAATTTTTTCTTTAGTTTGCGAAATGCGCCTATTTTCCAATTTTTCTTTTCGCCTAACTCAATCTTTGGAATACTAAGTTCAATATTTGAATATTTATGTTATATAAGTGTGTGAATTTTCACTATATGTTGGATCTAAGTACGATATGTTATTTTGGTGTAATATTATATGCTATAACTCATATGTTAGATAAGATTTTATATAATTTATGAGGATAAGTGCAATATAATGACTCTTTCTATATTTCCGGGCAAAACCGGACTAAAACGGTTGACCCATTAACCCTTGACCCACTAGCTCGATCGGGTCCGGGTCAACCCGCGGGTTGACAACCATGGTGCTAATTGTATAAGAGTTAGCACCGTCCTAATCAAGGGAAAAACTATTACTAGTTTGAATTAGTAGTGATTTAGCTTAGATGTTGTATTAATTTTATAATAATCCATAGTGATTTCGTTGTTTTTAGTAGCTTTTTTTGCTAGTTATCACGGTGCTAACCCTTATAAGGGTTAGCACCTAATCCCATCCCGTAAATGAAAGATATTCAGATAAGGTCTGCGGTTTATCTAATTTGTTGTTACCGTTTTGGTAATCATAAGTCATAAATAAAGCTCGGGCGGTAAAGTGGGTGGTTAAGGGGTTATTAGGAGAATCTTTAGATTGTCAACGATTTATAGATTCTGACTTTTTGGATTGTTGAAAATAGATTTTAAAATGTTTATTGTTAGATAATTGTGATTGTTAATGTTGGGGGTACTACAATGGGATAGTCCCAAATAAAGGCCCAATGCAACCCCTTAGGGAAGAGAGGGTCATCATCATAAAATAAGCCTAGTGGACTGGGTTCAAACGGAAATAAGGGTGCTTGAAGAAAAAACTCGTTAGGCTTCAAAGAAGTACGGATTGTCAGTGGTCCCTCCACGGGGCGCCTGACACTTGTCAGAAAGACTGACACGATGGTCGGGGCGCCTAGTCTGATAGAAGTACGGAACATTAAATGCGATGTTGACGTGGGGCTGAAATGAAAGAGTCCGGTCTATGATAAGGTGAGTATAAATAGTGCCGGTAGGTAGCATTTATGCAGGTTGGACTCTCTCACTAAACTGGGATCAGACACTTCTCTCTCTAGAATTCGGGCTAACTTGTTCGTCGGAGGATTAAAGGGCCCGTGCACCCCCCTCTGCGTGTGTGTGTAGGTGAGGCGCCTGCGGAAAGATGAGCAGGGTTCGGGAGTAAGGAAGATCAGGGTCTTAAGTAGGGGTGTACATGGGTCGGGTGGTCCGGGTTTAGCTGTTTTAATCACCCGACCCATGGACTACGGTTTGGGAAATATTAAACCCAAACCCATCCCAAAAAATTAAAACTCTACGGTTTGTTTCTAATTGGGTTGAGTCGGGTTGACGATATTTAAAAAAAAAAATCCAACCCAACACAAAATATGTAATTATTCTACACCATAAAAATATTTCATAACTAATAAAAATTTCAAATGAATAAACCGAGGTGAAAGGTATCAAAATTCACAAATGTTGTTTGAATTTTAATAAAATGTGATTTATTTCAACATTTGTCTAGTTTGTTTCACGATATTTGTTGAAATAGGCTAAAAATGTTGTAAACGAACGCATCCATAATATATTATTCTATTAAAATTGTACACAAGAAAAAGAATTACGTGAATCGTAGCCATATTAAATCTATGTCTAAACTTTAAGACGAAGAATGCCTTAAATTAGAGAGACCACGAGAGTAAAACATCACAATATTTTAATTTTCTCATAAGTATTGCTATATGCAACAAAAAATATTTTGTGAATACGAACTCATACCAATAGTTGGAACACGGTTTGGGTCGGGTTCTACGGGTTGTGTAATCCAAAATCCAAATCCAACCCAAAAGAGGCGGGTTGTACAAAAGAAAACCTTCGACCAACCCAAAACCTTAGTTTTAGCGATAAATACGAGTGGGTTGGGTCGGGTTGGACGGGTGGGTCGGTTTACAGGTGTGTTTATTCACCCCTACTCTTAAGGTATTTGGGTACAAACAATTGGCGCGCCAAGAAGGGAAAGCGGCCGGTAACTACGAAAATGGAAGCGCCCGGAAGTGGAGAGGGGAAACAGGTTACGAGGGATACGTCGCAAGGGTTGAGGGAGCGGACGCTCGACGCGACTGAGGGAGAAGGGAGTGAGTCAAGGAACCCTTATTCAGAAGACGCCTCGATCACAAAGAGAGATCTGTTCAAAATCATCGAGGACCAGGATGAAGCGATCGAAATACTCAAGCGAGGAGTGGAGGCACAGAAGAGGAAGAGGGATTGGCCCCTAGCCCGACGACGAGGAAAAGGGAAAAGATCGCAGAGATGGAAGGGGAGTTGATAAGCCCTAGGTTGGCTTAATTCAGAATTACGCAGCTATGGAACCTCATGAATGAATTTGAACAGGTGAACGATGGATCAAGGGATAAAACTAAATCAACAACTTCAACACACAAGGGAAGAGGCTAATCGAGGAAGAAATACCACGAGATTAAGGGTGAATATCCAGATCTCTAGGTATGCAATTCTCGGCTAAACAACCAAGAACAATAGCTAGCAAGCTGGAAAACTCCTCGGAGTAATTCGATTAAAACGCATAACGTGATTTACAATCAATGAAAGAGGCTATTTATAGTCGAGAACGACTTAACACAATCCTAATTGAACAATGAAGCAAATTACAAACAAACCAAGGAATGGAAAACACGTAAAACACGAAACTTGCAAGCTAAGCAACTTCCTTCTCGGCCAAGCAACTGTCCACGAAATCAGCCTTCGTACCAACTTCTAGCTCCTGGAAAATGGTCTTCTGGGTTGAGTCGAGCTCAGCCAATTCCTTCCCTAGGTTTAGAAAGTTTCACTCTCTCAATTCCAACTCCAAGCTCCAGCTGATCATGCCCCAAACGTTGTGAATTCGAGCTAAAAGTCGCGACCTCAAACTGTCTTTCTGCCTTAGTAAAAAACTGGCAATTTCCAGAATGCAGGATAGGTTTTTGATAGCCTTGAAAAACAACCCTCCTGGCCTTCCTTCCACAATCCAAATGCATCAACTTATAGAGGAACATCCAAGCTTCAAAACAAACCTTCACACGTGCATTGTCACTGAGCCATTTGAGAGATTCAACCTTCCAAAATAGGCTTCCCATAACTGTTCCTACACTTAGGCAAATTCCAGCTTGTTTTTCATCAACTTGATCCGAACTTTGAATGATTGATTGGATTTCTTAAGAGGCTGTAATTGAGATCATATCAGGAACCCGACCAGATCAGGCGCCCCACGACCCTGTGGCATCCAAATGATCACACAAGTTTAGAATTTGAAAGGCGAAACGGGTGGACGCCCAGGCGCCTTCCCAGGCACTTCACTGTTAGGCAACCCTTGGCGAGGAATGTCCTGATGGAGCCGGCCGGAACTAACATACCACCACTCCCAACTTAGATGGGACGGCGAATGCGGACGACCACCTAAATGGCTACTTCATGAAGATGGAATTGAACAACAGCTCGGATGCGACTTTGTGCAAGGTGTTCCCGCGACTTTTGCAGGGATAGTGCTCTATTGGTATTTGGTACCATCATATCGAGAAAGGATGCATTGAGTGCTTTGAACAATTTGCTGTGATGTTTTTGGTGAAGTTTGCTAGTAGGAAGCGTCACACCTTGACCATAGGCGCCCTTTTCAAAATCAAGCAAAAAGAGGGAGAGACCCTGAGAGAGTTCTACGAGAGGTTGTTTTCAGTGATCATGGCGGCCAAGGATGTTCATTCGCCCGTGTTCGGGTGTTTCCTGGAAGAATGCACTACTAGCGAGGAGCTTTGCAGAGCTTTGGCGAAGAGGGATGTGGTGTCGATAGAGGATTTAGACCACAGGGTGCAGAAGGTGATTATGTTGGAAGATACATTGGCAGCGAGAAGGGCAGATAGGCGTTGGGTGAGGGGAGACGAAGGTGAGGCTTCTCGAAATCAGGAGCCCGCACTGGGGCCTACATATACGTCCTCCCACTTCGCACCAACAAGAAGGATGGGGGCAGGGCGCCCATCGCCCCGGGGAGCTGGCTCTTTCACGGAGTTTAGCGATACGCTGAAGAATGTGCTTCAATATGTCAGGGAAAAAAGCTACCATTTATGTTGGTCTGGGCCAATGATGGGACAGCCAAATGAGCGAAACCTAGATCAATATTGCGACTTCCACCGAGAAAGAGGGCACCATACCGCGACTGCTACCAATTAAAGATGGAGTTGCAAGGCTTGGTGGATAGAGGGATGCTCAATGATTTTGTTAAGAAGCCTGATGAGAGGGCGCATATGACTTATGTTGCGAGAGCAGAGTTAAGGACAGTGGAGCTCCCCCCACCTTCTTTTAACCTCGATCAAGAC